CGCAACATGTCACTTGTAGCAATGTCTGCTTGGTCATAATAAATAAATATTTGCTCACGTCTTGCGGCTCTCAAACCTCTGACATTTACTATATGTGGCCCTTCCATTGAGCAAGTTCGGCCACTCCTGCTATACTGGAAGCCTGATGAGAGGGGATGATGGGCGGGGCTCCCCTAATTTACGTGCTTCTAGTTCCTGCTTCCTGTGTGTGGCACAGAGGGCAGGCTGAACTGTGTGAGTGCGGTGCCATGTGTGGTAGTGTTGCCCACAGGATGCTTTGGGTGGTTGTGTGTCTTGGAGGGGGGCTCTGACTCTTAATTCTCATGCTCCAGTCTTGGCACATGGGTCGCGGTTCTTTGCCCGGGGTTGTATCCCAGGGGACACAGGCTTTGCCCCATGGCTCTACTGGCTCCCAAGGCTCTAGCTGGCTACCAGAAAGTTCTCTTCCAGGAGTTGCCTACTCTAGCCCAATGCTAGCCAAGGAGTATTGTGGCCAAGCAGCAATCCAGATCTCACTTGAAGCCCAAGAGGCTAGACCAGTGGTCCCCAACATCCTGGGACATGGGGGCTGCATCAGAGTCCCCAATGCCTACAGAAGGCCACATCTTAAATCAAAGTGTAACAAAATTATTAACACACCAATTTAGATCAAAAGTCATCAGGCATCAATGAAGAAATGTTGACCTGAATGCAATTCAAATTGGAGCAATATTATACTGTGGAATCCTTTTAATATTACACTGTGGAATCCTACACATGCTTACCTAGTCAGTGTGATTTTTGTGGCTGTTTTCTGTCAGCCAAGGCATTAATGTCCAAGTCAAGGTTTGTGACAGATGCCCTCAAAATATCCTGTAAATGTTCATCTGAAAGCCTTGACCTACACTTGGATTTCACAGTTCTCATCCTGGAAAATGTTTGTTTACAGATGTGTGTGGTACCAAAGACTATGAACATGCCTCCGGCAAATTTCTTTAGGTTGATAAATATATCAGGTAGACCACAAGAGAAATCTAAAGGACTATTTTCTTTGTAAATGCTTCTGAGATGATCACAGGTTTGCAAATCAATCAGTTCCATCTGAAAAAAAGTTACTTGCATCTTCAGCTGCTACTTCAAATGGATTCTGAAACATTCCTATTTCCTTTCCTTTATGGAAATCAGTGACTCTGTTCCGGAATTCCACCTGCAATAGGTTCAGTGCTTTGATGTTTCTTTCAACATTGAATTGTAAATCCCCGTCCTTCTCAAATTTTAGTTCATTGTAGCATGAGAAGTTTGAAAAGTTACTTTCACTAACTTGCTTCACAAAAATGTTGTTTTGCTTCAAAAGTTTTCAGTTCAGAATATATGCCACATGCAAGCTTTCCTTTTCCCTGCTACCTTAGATTCAATGTGTTCAGATGCTCTGTGATATCAGTTAAGAAAGCCAAATCAGACACCCATCCAGGGTGAGAAAGTACCTCTTGACCTTCTTCTTTCTCCTTGAGAAAGGCTTCAGCTTCATGATGCATGTACACTTCACTGCCTGCCAGTCAAGTCTCAATCATGAGAATCAAATAAGCAGCCAGGGGGAAGGGAAAGCAGCCGGAGGAAGATGTGAGAAGGAGAATCCCAAAAACTTTCCTGTTAAGAGAGTACTTCTTCCTTCTCAACCCAAGGGCTACTCACCCACTCCTGCAATCACAGATGCGTGAGAAGACTCCTAGCTGGAGAGGGTGGGGGCGGAGAGGCAAAAGCAAGCAAGGCAAACAGAGCAACCAGCTCTTGTTGAGGAAGGAAGGATGCTCTTGCCTGAAGCAGCAACCTCACCAGTAACCTTGGAAGCCACTTGGAGGAGCCTTGATAGGTGGAGTCTCTATAAGCCACATCTTGGGGATTATACGAGTGGAGCCAGCTAGAGCCAGGGGGCAGGCTAGATGGCCCAGGAAACCTCTTCTGCCCCCCTCCTTTCCTATGTTTCAAATGTTCAGTATGCAAAATACTTTGTATCCTTTTTTGCAAAAGTACCAGGCCGTTTTTGTTTTTGTTTTTTTCTCTCTTTCCCCCACCTTTTTTGCAAAAGCAGGCCAGACATCTCCTGGACGCACCTGCACAGATGCTTTATCTTCCTTACACGCATATATAGCCTTCCACATGGTGATGCATGGAGAGGGAGAGTGAAAAAGCTGAGTGATATGGATACCTGAGCTTTGCTGGCTGCAAAAGCACCCACACTGGCCAAAATGCTAGTGTGGAGGATAAGACCGAGAGGAGGCTGGGCCAGATCCAGTTGTGGAATCTCTTGGGGGCCACATTGTAGTGACGGGTGGGGCTAAAGGCAGAAGGGCCAGGATGAAAAGACCAGCATATTAAGCCTCAAGTGAGGCATTTAAAATGGGAGTGGGGGAACTGTGCAAAAACCAGGAAACAACCCCACTATTGGCGTTCTATGGAAAGGGGTGCAGACATTCAGGAAAGCACACAGGGCTGAAGTGGGACCCCCAGGGAGGGGCAGGCACAGCCCATGAGCCTGAGGTTCAGTTCCCCTGCTCCAGACGCTACACATTTCTTACTCAGATGATTTCACCATGAGTAGTTCAATTTCATCAATTTCATGGACACACGCAAGCTCCACTGCATGTAATCAAGCCGTCTGTGTACAGGCTGCACACATGTGGAATGTTGCTTGTGAATAACTGTACAAATATCAGTTGACACTTTCAGTTGCACTGAATGTGTGGACAGTCCCAGCACTTTAACATGGGTGATATTTTCATGGCATCACATACTTAGAATTTTTAAGAACTTCATTTGGCTAGATCAGGACTGGGGAACCTAGGGCCTTCCAGATGTTTTGACCTACAACTTCCATCAGCCCTAACCAACATAGCTAATGATAATGGAGCTGTAGGCCAAAACACCTGGAGGGGCAAAAATTAGCCCCCTCTGGATTAGATGTCCTTCAGGTGCTTGTTTAGCTCTATCTGATAACGTGTTTACATGGTGTTCAGTGACGCTTACTCTTAGGCCTGCAATCCTATAGCATCGATCCATGGACTCGGATGGAAGTGCTATTGTTTCTAATGGGCTTCGCTCACTAGTATGGTTCGAATACTACCTTAATCTTAAAGTATTAAAACAAAGAGCCATTGTCTAAGATGGTTTCATTTTAAACCATTATTTTAAAACTATATATTTGTTATTGATCAGTTTGTTTTTAGTGATGATTGACAGTCCAATCTTATGCATGTGGACTCAGAGATAAGGCTACAGTAGGACATAGGAGTGTTTCTTATGTGTTTAAGATGACAAGGAATACTTGAATTAGATGCAAATCATAGTGCTTGGAATACTAACATTAGGCTCAATATTGCAAATTTAATGTATACAGAGTTGATTTTAATCCAAAAATGGATTGGGGGTTAAAAAAAATTAAAAACCCTAATTCCAAGCCCTAGAACAATGCTGTAGTTTTAGCTCTATCACCATGAATGTGGGAGGCTTAATAGTAAGAAAATATTCAGTCTAAGTGTGTGAAGAAATTATTTCAAATTTCCACAAAGTTCAGGAAAGGCACCAAAGTTTTGAACTGGAACTTAAGTCTGTCCTCCTATGAGGTGGGGTGGGGTGGGGTGGGGGGCTTTTTCAGTAATTCTGCTGAAGGGGAATGTTTCATGGGGACTAAAAGAGATCCTAAGAGGGCCCTTGAACATGCTTCTAGGCCAGAAGTGTCTGAGTGTCTGAACACGTATCCTGAACTTGTGGGGAGTGAGACCCACCTTCTGGCAGCACATGCAGTGATAATAAGAAAAGGCTCCCTGGGATTTTCGGTGGTGGTGGGGAACGTGTGAATCCCCCTCCTGAGGGAATCTGCATGTCGCTTAGATCTCTGTAGTGTCTTAATCACAGATTAATAGCTGAAAAGGGTAAGCTGATTATCATTGCCCCGGGAACATTTCCATGCCTTTCAGGTACAGGTTTCCCCCTTTTTTTTAACCATTCCGTTCGGTGAGTGAAAGTACTTTAGAAGCTCTTGCTAGGTTCACTTCCTAATTGCTGTCCTTTCATGTAGTGTAAAAGTGAAACAGTTCAATAACGACTTCTAAAACAGCGCGTTTCTTTTTAAGCAGAAAATAAGAGCGCGGGGAGGTCACTTACTGCAAGCAAATATTCTCCCTAGGCAGCGCTGGTTGGGGATGATGGGAGTTGTAGTCCCGCACCTCTGGAGGGCGCTAGCCTTGCACAGATGTGCCGAGAAATTTTGCGCCACGGCGCGGCTGGATCCACCAGCCGCAGGACCGACTTTCCAGTCGGGATCATATAGGATCACGATCTTCATCTCCGCGAAGGAGGGAGGGAGAGCGCTTCAGCCACTTTGACTTGTAGAAAGGCGACTTTCAGCAGCTGCAACTGCACGGAAAATTTCTGCACCGTCCTAAATTCTGTGTTGGAAACAGACATGACTTTAAATCTGCACTGAGCAGCTTTCACGCCCCCCCCCCTTTTTTTTTAACTCTAGAATGGGCACAGGTCTTCCATGGATCAGGACGTGTGTGGGCTTGATCAGAAAACGTTAAGATCCGGATCGGGCCCCTGCGCCTCCTCTACAATAAAACTGAAGGGGAAAGACATAACTGCTCGAGACGTTTGTTCTGCCCTCCCCGCGCATCTGTTAAAAGTGCCTCTTTACGTCGAGTTACTCGCCTTCCTCTTTCCGCCTTGCACCGTCTCTCAAACACTAAGCGAGCATAAACTGTTGGTGATGCTCATCGGCCAGATCGCCGCCGCCGCCGCCGCCGCCAGGCTCCACCTCCACCAAGATGTGTTTACGTATTTTAGGGACGGGCTGGGGAGAAACCAGCCAGCCCCGACACTAGGATCGGTTATCCGTGGCGCTGCCAAGCGGCGACCTGCGGAGGAGCTGCGAGCAGCCCCGCGCCCGTCCTGAACTGGAGCCCGGTGAAAAGTTTCTCAGTATTCAATCGTTCATTTTCAACTGCTGCGGCCGCCGCTCTTGCACTCAAAGGGAAGGCATAGAATAGAACAACCTCGTCGGCCCTCCTGAGAAATAGCACTGCAGTTCAAGTGGGTTTTCTTCAAAAAACAGACCTGCAGAGAAATGTATTGGAGACAGAATACTAGGTAAGTCTTTTATTTTCTAAAACTGCCTTTGTTGAGTTATGGACTTTTTCTCTCTTGTCTATGCAAAGGTAGTTTTTTTTTAAAGAAATATGCAAGGGGTTGATTCTACACCTAGTCGTACTAGGTTGACTTATTAGAGACAATGACTAACTTAGGGCCCAATGAAATCAATGGCTCACCTCTGACTAGGTCAGGATCCAATCCATTGTAATTTTGCTCATGTTTGGACCCCGTGAAAGCAAATGTAGAATTTCTGGAGTGGTTTGAATGAAGCTATACTTTCTTATAATGCTATAATGTTTTTGGACGTGAGGTTACTTGGGTTCTTGCAAAGTGGTGTTAGGAAAGAGAGTGCAGTTATTAAACCAGGATCTCACAGATATGCCTAGTGCTGCATTTTATTTCAATAGCAGTGATGGCTGATAGATTCAGTTGTGTTTTTTTCAACAGCATGATCCTAAGAGGGATTCAGTTAACTTAGATTTCCTAGTGAGAGTGTTTAGTGTCGCATTTTTCACTGGCATTTTTCTTTTACTAAATCATCCATCCTAAACATGAGATGGATGTGAGATGAAGTCCCATAGAAGTCAGCAGGTTTGCCTTATGAGTAAACATCAAGATTGCACTGTGGATTGCATCCTAGCTAAATTTCTTTCATTTCATAGGTTTAGCATTAAGATACAAGATTATAAATGTACTTTTCCCTCTGCCCATCTTTTTTCTACTTCAATTGATATTTCTTTCCTTTGTATTTCTAGATTTATTTTAACAGTGACTCTGGCCTTGCAAGTTCTGAACTTTGGAAAAGGTGAGGAACTTTCACTTTTGTTTGCAATAGGTCATATAATGGGTGCATTTTTTAAAAAAATCTGCATTAAGTTGTGGTCATTTACTCCCCAAGGCTATAGGAAAGAGGATGATGGACAAGGGAGGGGACAAACTGCTGATGCCACAGCCCAAAAGCATCACATAAAAGACCAAACCACCACATTAAATGCCTTCAGTGAAATGAATCAAAGCTATGAGAGCAGAAAGCAGATGAACTCTAGGCTGGTGGTGCCTTTCCCTGGTCTTACACAAAGTAGGTAACTTTCTTTCATCTTCTGTTGTTATGATATTTGGTGTTGTCATAATTTAGAAGCTGCTTTGGCCCATTTGCATTTGCAGGTTATTTGTATGTTGCCATATTAACCTGGATGAACCACAACCCGCCTCCAGTGAAGTGAGCAACTTGGGACATTTTGCATTTCAGTTCAGTAGCGCTGATAGCCTATTGTAAAGTGGTGCAAGGGATCATCTGTTGGACTTGGGCACAGGAAGTCTGGGTTCCAGTCCTTGCTCTGCCCTAAAGCTTCCCGGAAGTTCAATCCTATGTGTCTCTACTCAGAATGAGACCCAGGATGCTCAGGGGGGCTTTGCTTCCAGCAAAATGTGTGTCTAATTGCTGCAAGGGTGACTTTAGACCCATCGTTACCCTAGCCTACCTTAAAGGGGTATCCTTGTGAGGGAAAAAGGAACACCTTGAGGGAGGAAGGGGTGAGATAAAAATGCAGCCACATGACTAGGACAAATCTGTTGCCCCGTGGCTTCTCACATGCAGCAAAGTAGACACTCCTATGCTCCTTACAGTGCGATGTGGTTTCCCACAGAGGATACAGGTATTGTGTGTGGATGGGTAGGTGTGTGACAGGGCAGTCCTTATTTCTGACTGCCACATATTTTATCTGCCAAGTGGAACAGCTCTGTGTGTGGACGACTCTGTTCTGCCTCCATACATGGATATTATTAGCTAAACTCTAGGCAAATGCAGTTAGACAAGGACCCCGATCTGGGTTTGGTCTATAGTATAGACTCTATACCAAGGAGAAAAGCTGAAGCCCCGGCCTGGATCCTTCAGACTAGGGTCTTGACCTGGCTCCATCTTCACCAGTCCTGTTGTGGAGTGAAAATAAGAAAATATGTAGCTGCTTATTGTGAATTTAAAGTAATCTGCTCTGGCTAGAGAGTAGACTGTCCCGAGATAGTAAGACTGCTTCCAAGGAAATATGCCTAAGATTTCACTGTTACAGACTCACTTTGAACTTGTTCGGATCTCGCTGAGCTTATTTGGGTGTATTCCCCCCATTGCGTTTGGGGTTCTAACCATGCAGAGGTGGTGTTACGGACTGAAAGGATCTTGGACTCAGGCCCACAGGACAAACAACAAAGCACTGCTTTGCATATTTTCTAAAATATATGGGTGCCTTTAAAGCAACATGTCACCTAAAGACACCCCTATTTGTAAAAAGTGGTATATGGCCATGGGGGAGGAGTGCATTTAATATGAATTATTTTTAAAAAACCTGATCAATGGATTCTAGAGTTACATCATAATTTTAGCCAAGGATAATAGAAGGGAGTGTGTAGATTGGAGATGGCAAATATGTGATTGTTATATTTTCCTAAACCATGAGCCATGTATAAATTGAAAAAGCAGTGCTAGATCTCTGCTTTACCAGGAAATGCTGGCAAAAATAAGTTTTTTCCTTCTTTAGTAAATGTCTATTTGAAAGCATTGATTTCTTAGTGTTGAGTGATGCCTGCTTTTATCAGCACAAAATATGCAGTTTGATTGCACACTTCTGCAATAGAACATGTCAGGGGTTGCTGCTTGGCCACTCAGTAATCCCCAGCAGCGTGCTTTTAATCCTTATCTAAACAAATTGGGCTTAACTGAACAAACACTCTTAACAGGCAGCTAATTTTATTGTCCCCTTAAGGCCAGTAAATCAGACCCTTGGCAGCCAGGGAGACTGGGCAGACCAAGTGAGAAAATAGGTTCAAAGAGGTCTGTTTCATGATAAACTATGGAATATTCACTTTCAGGTAGAACACTGAACCGGCACTGCTGTCAAAATGGGGGGACTTGCATCCTGGGCAGCTTTTGTGCTTGTCCCAAATACTTCGTTGGCAGATACTGTGAGCATGATGAGCGGAAGAGGTAAGGACCGGAAGGCAAGAGTCCCGCACTGGAGGTGGTTTGCTATGGTGATATGCTGACCTTCTGTTGTGTTTTTGACAGCAACTGTGGCCCGTTCGCACATGGGGAATGGATAGAAAAAGGTTGCCAGTTATGCCGATGTGGTTACGGTGTCCTCCATTGCTTATCCAAACAAATGCAAAACTGTGGTAAGAAAGAACTTGATTGAAACATTTGCTCATTGCCAATCGCCTTCTCCAACTTGGGGTCCTGTAGATCTGCTGAACTGCTTAGATCTCTCAGATCTAAGATCTGGTAGCTACCAGGTTGGGGAATGCTGTTCCATAGGAACATGGGACACTGCCCTAATGGCATTGTTGTCACTGACCCACAAGCCTTCAGGAAAGAGTTTTTCTAGCCTACCTGGAGGTGCAAGGGATGGAGCTGGGAAAGTCTGCATGCAAAGCATGGCCTCAGTTGCTTAGCTACAGCCCTTCAAACATGGAGGACTGTGGATTGTTTTGAATGATCCTTGGCGTTTTTTATTTCTTTCACTCCTCAGTAACAATCTAGGCTGATTTTAGGAGCAATGATTTTCTTTTTCTTCCCATTTGAAACATGTCAGCCAAAATTTTATAGCATTCATGGACATCAGGATTTTTTTTCCTTCCTAGTTTTAAAAGTTGCCTAATCCCGGATGGGGATGGGGGAGAACTGCTTCTCTCCAAATGTTTTGACTACAACTCCTATAATCCCTGTTGGTAGGGGTGAAGGGAAGTATAATCCAAACCAACTGGTGGTACCAAATTACCTATTCTTGCCCTAAATGAATATTTGAGATAAGCGAACAAGAACCTTTCCTTGAATTATTTACAATGCATAGGTATAGGAACAGCAAGTCTAGCTGAATGAATTGTGCCCTATTAGAAATTCAGATTAAATTATCATAATGATCCCTCCTGGCCTAGATATCTGTGTTGTTGTGTTTTAATACTGCTTCTCTCATCCAAGTTCATTGAGCAATTAAAGTAACAAAAGAACTAGCCTCATGCTTGCTTGGCTGCTAGTTATATGTAAAAAGTGTACTAATTGAATGATGTTTGCTATTTCATTTCAAACCTGCTTCAGGAATGGGGCCAACCTCCCCTGCAAGCAAGCATATGCTCGGGAGGAGAAAGGTTTATCTCAAAACATTCTTTGCAGGGCTGCATACCTTATTTACTTTCCCGAGTTTCTGCTTTGCCCAATAGCTCTCTCAGTAGTTTGCAAAAGTTAAAAATACAGTGTGAGTGTTTAAAAGTTGGAAAGAGGGTAAAATTGGAGTAGAAACTAGAGTAAAATCCAGCAGCATTTAAAGATCTAAACACAAGACTACCTTTAAAGCAAAACTGATAGGACTAAAAGTGCGGGGTGGGGTGTCAAAACTTTTTACCTGGTGCTTAAAAGAGCACAGTGCAGGCATTGGGGGACGCACTGGGAGCAGCCTTTTCTTAGCAGCCTCCTGCCTAACTCATTTGGTGTAGCCTGCTAAGATAGGAGCCTCAACACAATCTTCAGTATATATGGGAGGTATATAGGTTAAAAATGTAATGGTGAATGCAGGTCTGAAGGCTAAATTGTAGATATAAAGGTGTAATTTATTTCCTAAAGGACAGGTAGAGGTTCAGCACAGGAACCTCTTGGGGAAGGGTTTCATTTGTTAGATTTCTATCTATACTGCAGCTGTTAAAAGCAAAGAAGGCCTGTGAGGGGGTGAGGATGGGGGAACATAACTTTAGATGACATTGTCATGCCGGTGTCAGAGGATCAAAGCTGCTTACCTGCAATGGGCACCCAGCCTCTGGAATTGTACAGCTTTCTTTAGGCAGTCCAGATACCTGGGAATTCCTGCTAGAGATTTGGCATGTGTTCATTACAAAACTATTATACAACTTTTACATTCATCCTCCTATTTATATGGGGTGATAGCTGATAATGGGATTTATCAGTAGTGCCTCTCCTTTCCACTGATCCTTGGCATGCAAAAGGTCCTTGGTACAACTCCTGGCTTTTCCAGTAAGGTTAGCAAAGAAACCCCGGAGAACTTGGCAGTTCGATCCATAGTTCTGGGATGGATGGAGTCATGGTCTGGATTGCTGTGGGGCATCAGCCCAAGTTCCTGTATTTTTCTTAAACAGGAATTATATATATGAAGTGCAAAGCTATACATAGGCCTTCCCACAGCTGTGAGAATTACATTTAAAAATACATAATTGCAGCTTATAAAGTGAGCATTGACTTTAGCAGCACCTAGCGGCTTCTGCTGTGCACTGATGGCTGATGTACAACCAGTTCATACAAATCCTCCTGCCTGGACTGGATTTTACAAAGCACCCACCATGGTCTTCTGAATCAGGCTTTAGTTGGACTTCAGGAATGCTGTCATTATCCATCCCCATCGTTGTTAAATAGAGTGAATGCAACTTTTTCAGTATTATAACTGAGTTGTGAATTAATTGTCTGGCACCTCCATTTGTAAACTGTATATTTGAAAGCTAACCCTGACTAAATGCAGTGGAACTTTATTTCCAGTAAGTGGCTTAGGACCCCTTGTGACTCTAAAGTGATTACTCCTAAATTCCACACTACAATATATGACAAATCTATGTCAATATGTTTATCTCTGGGGTGTTAGTTTCACTTTGTTTTCTGCGTATGCACGTTTTTCTTAAACCTGGGACAAAAGGGTTAAAGGGGTACAAGGAGTTTTATTTTGTTAACTTCTTTACCAGTGGCTTGTATTTACTTTTGATTATGCTGTGATTAATGCCTTCCAGAGCTGATAAGCTGCTATCAGTTGGTGCTCAAAGGATCCTCCTGGCCCTCATTTGCACTTCTGCTTTGCCAACAGGATCTGTGATTTGGCTTCCACAGATCCCTTTAATTTAAGTACTGACCAAGAAACTAGGAAGGAAATTGCAAAACCTTGTTGAAATGGATTGTATGGGGGGTACTTTCAAAAATCTGACCTGCATTTTTCTTTTTCTTTTCTCAGCTATAAGAAAGGAAGAGGAATTTATCCATTTACCTTCAAATTGTCCAAGATTGCAGCAAACAATGTCCTTTCTTATGCTCCTGCTAGGTGGCTTCTTTGCATTGTTTTGCACAAAGTTCACATATTAACTGTGAATGACTCACTTATTAGAACTGGGACTTATACAGTAGTTTGCCTTATGATAAATCTTGTCCCTCATCAAGTAGGAAGACTGTTAAAATGTTAAAACAAAGAATGCTCTTGCCATTGCTTCCCCCTATTTATTAACCTGTTTGACAGGATTTAAATTTTTATTTTGTTAAAAAGAAAACTACCAACTCTACCTCCACAAGGATTTCAGCATTAACTACCTCATTTCTCTGCTGTTCATATTTCCACATGGAAAAAAAAGAGCAAGTGAGGAAGCCAACAGAGTTGATGGTAGCTGAAAAGGACTGTTTTGCTTTCTGGATTTTACAGTAACTTGCTGCTGATACATCCAACAAAGATATTCTGATGGAAGGACAGGAATAGCAGTTACTTTAAATCCTAGAATTAATCACACGGTTCCTTTGGTTTCCATGGAACATTTGGAATGATGGATGCTGGGATAATCAGTAGTAAAATGATCCCTTGTAAAGCGCAAGTCCTACAGCGGCCTTTCAAATATTAATCCCAGATTTAACCAATGGTGAAGAACTCATATTAGTAAAATGCTTACTAATTAAAAGCATTATATTGCTTGAATGTTAATTTTCATTACTTCTGTTTGAATCTGATTTAAACAGTTCCTTATGCCCTGATTTATTGACTCAGTGAAAGAAAAAACTATATATTTTAGTACTTAAGTACTGTAAACATTAAGTATTCCTTATATTAAAATAATTTTACTTTTGAATATGAACTTCCAAGATTTATTAGAGTGCTCTCTTTTCTTTGGAAGTTTGTAGTGTTTCTTAAACTGGCAGAAAGATACTGCTTGGTCAACCATTGCCATGTTAGGCTTGAGTTACAAGAATTCATCTAACTGGTTCATATAATTTTTGTTTGTGTCTATTCATGTTGCAATTCCATCTTGCTTCTGCATTAATTTAATTTTGCTTTTAAAATCCGCATAAAAATGTATTTAAATACACTGCCAATTTTTTTCTGTCAAAATATGCATTTCACAATTCATTTTGATAGATTTTTTCCCATGCCCAGAACTGCATTGAAACTCCTGAGAAATGCAAAAATGATAGATAATTGAGTTCTGATCTGCACATTAGTCCCAAATACCATGGATTAAATAACTTTATATCAGAATCCACTAAACTGTTAGGCTGAAATTTGCATCATTGCTTCTGAGGTCTGATTCAATTCAAACAGCTTTTCTGATAAAGATCAAATAATAACCATGGCAGAGCTAGTCTTCTGAGAGATTTATTGTGCAAACAAATGGTAATTTGTTGAAGAGGTACAAGGTTTGCATGGGAAAACTTGCATGTGAATGACAAACATTTATGAGAGTGGAACAGAAACATCATGGGATTCAGGAAACTAGCTCTTCCAAACTTTGTAACTATGTGATCTTTCTGTAGCAAGATGTAAGAAAAGCATTTGTCAAAACTGATCACAGGCATCCTCAACTGGAGATAAAACTGATGTGTTCAGTGCTACTTCTCACAAGTAAGGCCACGGTGACTGAATTGGGTCTAAATCAGTATGTAGTAAGCTGAGTGTTACATCACAGCTTAGAGGTATGTTGGATAACTTGCTGCCTGCTACAATAGTGGCTCTTCCGCTTGGCAAAACTGATCTTGAATACCAATTATGATTTAAAAAGGCAACGAACAACTGATAAGTTAGAAGCTCTGCTGTGCTATGGTTACAAAAGCACTCGGGCCCATTTTGCCGCTTGCAGTTCATAAAATAAACACGGGCTTTCTGCTGCACATACACGTGTTGAAATTTAGATGTCCCATGTAACAAATGCACAAACACTATAGAAGAGGATGGGAATTAACCTGCTCCACTGAGGCCATCTCATCTGCGCTACGACTTCCTGGAATGTGGCTTTGACATTAAACGATCGAGTCATTTCTGTGCACAAGGTACTGCTTCCCCCATTCCCCCGTACTGTTGTCCCTGCATGTCTTCCCTACCATTCGCTGATGAAGCAGCCAGGAAATTACTTGGGCTAACTATGGGTAGAAAAGGGAACAGTGGTGACCACCCACTGCTTATTTCTTGTCCACGTGATCCTTCCATACCTCAGGTAAGGAAAGGGACAGATGGGCACCTCAGTTGTATAAGGCTAATTTTTTTTCTGGCTGGCCACTGGAAAATTTGATGCTGGACTAGTTCTTTGGTCTGATCCACTAGGCCTTTTTATGCTCGTATTATTACACTTTATATACTACTCTTAACTAAGTGAGGATAAAAAATGGGTCACGGTATTGCAAGAGATTAATAGATCTTGTATTCTCCCTATCCTCCTAAATATCACCCAGTGCAAAACACAGGCACAGACTTCTTACAGCTGTGATCCACCTATTAAGTGAGTAGCCTGTAACATGCATTAGCACCAAGTTATGAAATGTGATGTTCTCTATGAAGATTTCTTCCAGTGCTAGAGCTGGGCAGCTTGGTACTGAGCTAATTCCAGCCTTTGTGCAAAGTAGGGGTCTTCCATTGGGGCTTCATTTCCAATTTATTTTAAACTAGTTTCTGCTTCTCCTGTGCACTACAGAGATGCAGATGAAGGCCTATGATATGCACGGAGTTTGTGCGCATGCCCTGGCCCTATGCGCTGGAACTTTTAATGCTCCTTCTATCTGCAGCTGATCTTCCATGGAATTTCTTGCTCAAGATTGACCTCAGGAGACTGCAGCCAGGCTCCTTGATACAATCTTTTCTGCCCTCTGAAAGTTTCCAGTTTAGGCAACTCACAGCATAGGGGGAAAAATTGGTGCATCTTTTGTCATTGTTTACAAGCAACCAGACATTGTGGCTCCTGAGCCCCCAGCAAGGGGCCTGTGGACCCCGCCTGATGTTATATTTGTAGGACTGGAATGCATGTGCTGCAGCACAGCAGAGAGTGGAAGTGACCTCCTTTGAACCAATGACGTTCCCAGCTATTCCCCCACTCCAGATTTTCATAAAACAATGAGCATTTCTTTATTGTTCCTTGCCTGCTTTATATCTTCCCCCAAGGCTGTATTTATGCTATCTGAATGCTTCCTCAGATGGACATCCAAAGCACAATATGTCTTATACCTGAGGAACTGTAGGGAACCCTCCCTTAGTCCTACATGTAAGAGCCTCACAGAAAACAATAGGTGTATTTTCTTTTGGGACATTTATTTTTTCCCCATCACAAGCACATCCCTTCAGTTCCTTCAACAAAGTAAAATCCAAACCTCTTCAAGACAAAGTTCCAATCCTTACCTAGAAGTTAGTCCCATCAAAAAGGCTGGTTTTTACTTCTTAGTAAACTTGCAGAATATTGCCTTAGTAACCTGTTTTTAAATCTTTGGCGACTTGGCTATGAATCTTCTGCTCCACAGACATTTGTATGCACACATGTACGTTGCCTAATAGAATATTGAACAATGGAAAATCTGAAAATTGCTCTATACAACTCCTAAGTACATGCTCAGTGCTTACTCTAATAAGACTCTGCAAACATCCAGAATGGGAAACTTCTATGCTAGGCCTTGAGTATCCTTGGTTAGGATGCAGCTACCTATACTTAAAAAATATCTGTGGATTAAGTTCATGTGTCAGTATGGAAGGAACTGAAGAATATTTAAATAGACATTTAAATTGAGATTTTATTCCATGCAGAGTGGTACTTTGATAGCAGAGGTAGGTGACGCATACCCCAGGGGCTGTGTTACTTCCTCATGGCCATCGTGGGGTCCCCTCCAGCTGTGGCCAAAAGCTGTGGTTCTATCTATCCAGTGATTTGGCAAGCATCCAGAGTACATGGGGACTAGACACCTTGTTTCCAAGCAATGCCATGTTCCCAAAAGCCACCTGAGACTGGAATTCTGCTTCCTTGCCTGGAAAGTCACTGATTTAAGGTGGAAACCCAGTAGGTTCTAGAGGGGTAACTTGGCCATCTTCCCAGCCCACAGTCTACAGAAGTCTGACCACTCATGGCAAATAATGCCTAAATATGGATATCTTCGGATGTACTGTGCTACGTGCACAAGCAACAGTGTGACTATATAGTTGTTCTTCACCAGTGATATAACCCTCCATAGAAACTTGACATTATTTCACTTGACTGGCGTCAGCCAGGCTGCAACAAGGAATTGCATCCTCTGCGCTTCTTTCACCATTTTGCATCTCTCCAGCTTCCACCAACCCTGCCACATCATCTGGACAGTGGTACCTTGGCTCATGAACTTAATCCGTTCCAGGACTCTGGTCGTAACCCAAATTGGTTGTGAGTCAAGTCAAATGTCCTCATAAGGGTCAATGTAAATAAGGTTAATCCATTTTAAATCAGAAAAATGTGAAGCAAAGCGACAAAGAACAACAAAGATTATGGCCATCTCCCCCCAACCCTGAGCACGAGCGCGGCCATCTCCCCTCTCCCCCAGCATGACCACAATTGCCCCCGTCATCCCTGCACGTGCCCATCATCCCGGCGTGCTGGAGGGGAGGGGAGACAGGCATGAACAGGGCGCACTGGGGGGGAAGAAATATGCGCGAACGTGGGCGTGCTCGCATGGGGAGAGACAGCGCAATCATGCTGTGTGTGTGTGGGTGGGGGGAGATGGCCAAGATTGCGGTTGTGGTTGTGCGAGAAAAATAGCCCCAATCTGCCCCCCCCCCTGCCCCCAGCACGATCGCAGCCATCTCCCACTTGGCGGGTGGGGAGATGGCCACGATCGCAGTCGCCACTCAATGCAGAGTTCACGACCCGAGTCAAAATTTGTATGAAATTTTTGTTTGGGACCCGATTTGGTCGTGAACTGAGGCATTCTTGAGCTGAGGTAGCACTATGATCCTTGCTTCTTTACATTCATTTTTAAAAGTGGCTGTACTTTAAATGTTTGTTCCCCAAGCACTTTCTTTTCATCAAAATTGATTTTTTAATTGCATGGTTGTACCTTTAAATGTTCGTATCCCATTTCATTTATTTTTATTTCCCGAA